CAGCGTCCAGTTATAGCTTACCCTATTGCTGGATACCGGTGTAGACCCGATCATAACCCCCGTACTACCCTGGCAGAAATTGGCGTCTGCCCCTGCATCGGCGGTTACCGGTATTACATTCACCTGGTCCAGTGCTACACAGCCATTATTGTCCGTTACCTTTAAGGTATAGGTAGTGGCGGCTGTTATGGCACTGGTGACATAGGTTGCCGTAGCGGCACTTGCAGTAGTGGCATTACCGGCAAACCATTGATAGCTGGAAATTGTAGCCGGCGAAACAGCCGTTGCACTGCCATTTAAAGTAACGGTATTACCGGAACATAAAAACCATTGCGGCCCGTTGGCATTGGCCGTAGGGGCTACATTGCCAGTAATGTTTACCAATGCGGCAGCAGAGGAATCCACAGTCGCCAGATCGCAATAGCCATTATTCGCTTTTACAAGTCGCCTGAAGTAAGCATTGCTGGAGCCGGTGGGCGGTGTAAGGTCTTTAAATACCTCGCCTGTGAGATCTGTCCATGGGCCGGTAGCGCTGGCTGCCGTTTGCCATTGGTAGAAAATGCCTGTACTGAATTCGGGTGGGTTAGTGCCATTAATGCTGTTGCCTATAATGGTTTGTGGTACACCCAGTGCACAGGCATTTTGCGTAAGTGGCGCAATAGTACTGGCCGCCACTTTGAAATCTGTTGGTAGATAGCCTTCGGTGAATTTCACTAAAATCCCCTCATTGCCTCCCTTATTGACAGGTTGAAATGAACCGGCTGTTGACATTGTAGAGCCAATTTCAAGTGTTCTTGCCCCGGCATATACATTACCCTTTGCATCTACAGCAAAAGTAGTATGGTAGCTTGCAATAGTCCGGGTAGAACTTACGTCTTCACTACCGAGGCTACCGTAAAGAGTACCCCAGACACGCGCCCCCCCAGCATTGAATTTATTAATAAATATATCCGCAGATGCAGAACCAGTCACAGATTTAAAACTACATTCTGTGGCATTGCCACTGTAGGTAGCTGAAGTCGGGGAAACATAGCCCAATACATAAGCATTTCCCAGCGCGTCTGTTTTAACATCTTCTGCTACCATTTGCCCTGTATATGTAGTCGATAAATAAGTTCCCCAGGTGCGCTCACCATTCATATTCAACTGAACGAGAAAACCTTCGGTTAGAAAGCCATTGCGCGTTTCCTGGAATGCACCTGATGTTGCAATGCCTATATCATCCTGTGTATGACCCACCACATAAATCCGGCTATTTGCCTTATCTACTGCAATGCCTGTAACGGTTGTAAAACTTCCACCAGTACCACCAAAATACCGCCCCCAGCGGCGGGATGCGTTAGCGGGATTAAAGCTTGCTATAAAACCCGGGCTTCCAACAGGATACGTTTGACCCTCCGTTACATTAGCCGCGATACCTGCGGAAGAACTCGTTCTGCCACATAGGTATATATAGTCATTGGCATCTATTGATATACCGGAGGAGGTTTCTCCTCCGGAACCTCCAAAATAAGTGGCCCATGTTCTCGCACCTGCAGCACT